GCAGAGGGAGAAGCAGCCTCCCAAGGAGCAGGGAGCCCGATGCGGGACTCGATCCCAGGACCCTGGGATCACGGCCTGAGCCGAAGGCAGACGCTTAACCATCTGAGCCACCCAGGCGCCCCATGTGTCGTGTTTTGTATCCAGCTCCTTTCATTTAGCATAATGTTTTCAAGGTTCATCCATGTTGAAGCATGGCTCAGTACTTTATTACTTTTTATTGCCAAAATTTTGCTTTTAAGGTTATTTTGATATCCCCCCCCCTTAATTCCATTCTTCCCATTTCACTGTTAAATAAGCCCTAGGGTTTCTATCATAATTATTATGATTTCAGAGAGTAACCCGTTCATTTCTGTAAGCCACAAAGCAATCATCTGCATGCTCTAGAGCATTTCACATTTGATCTATTTGACACAAGTTTTGATTTTTTTTAAAATACGTTTTTAGAAAATATGGTCTTTGCTACTGCCAGTGGCAAGCCCAGCTGAATTAGGCATATCCTTGTGATGCAGCTAGTTCATTTCAATATAGTTTGTATCAATAGCATTTTTTTTTTATATATCTAAGAAAGTTTGGGCCATTTTTCTATGCTTTCCTTACTTGTTCTTCACTAGGGAGTACCAGTATGTTATCAGAAATAGAATTCTTGGTCCTCCCAGTGCATTAGGTTTATAAACATCAAATTGCATGAAAGATGAAGTTCTGTTATTAGCTGCAAAGTTTATACAGATATTCAGGAAGATTTACATACTTATTAATCTTCTTTGTTTCTCTTGGTAACTTTTGAATATGCATCTTCTTCAGGACCCTTCGAAAGATGCCCCATGCAAAAGGTTAGTATACCCTTAATGGACTTCCTTATGTTCAACATAATGTCTGGCCAGAGGTTCTTCTGTAAATATACGTGTATAACATAACTTAAGAATACTGTTTGACTTGGGAAGAAAAGTGGGGAATATAGTTAAGGGCGTTGTGAAAGTATTGTATAGTGACAGATGGTAGCTACACTTGTGGTGAGCACCGCCTAACTATCAACTTGTCAAATCACTGTGTTGTACACCTTAAACTAATGTAATATTGTATTACTATATTTCAAGTATATGTTAACTACATTTCAATTTTTTAAAATTACAGTTTAACAACTAACTCTTTTTTGGCCAAAATTACTGCAAATTCAGTAGTTCCTTACCATTAGCAAAATTAATTTTGACAGTTTCAATCGTTTTGAGTAATCTCAAAAGTTCATGCTTTGAATAATTTTTAAATTATGTTGTGACATAATTTGGAATCACATTTGGTGAGAGGCCAGTGCATGGACAGCTAACTACTGTTAAGTCAAGCCAACAGTTTCTACAGCTCAGCCCCACTATGCAACTTCCACTTAAAACTTAATCTCATTTAATCCTCACAACCACTCTGTAAGGTGTGTGCTATTATTGCATTTTATAGAAGGAAAAAATATGCATTGCATGCGTATTCAGGGATTTGGGGTTTTTTTTTCAAAGGTTTACTTCAAATATCCCTTGCTGTGGTTTTAGGAATACAATAGTATGAGCTCTGGAAGGTATTCATTTGCCTCTATTTAATTTGAGGTGAAGGACAGAGAATTCAAAAAATTTAGACTTAAAGGAAACTTAATAAATTCGCCTTCCTTAATATTAAGATCTTATGCTCAGCTAAATACTCTGGAAAGAATTTGAAAACACAAGCCATAAACTTGCAGCAGACTTAGGCTACACATAACACTTTTTAAGAATTATTATGCAGGGGCGCCTGGGTGGCTCAGTCGGTTAAGGGACGGACTCTTGATTTCAGCTCGGGTCATGATCTCGTGTAGTGAGATTGAGAGCCCAGCATCGGGCTCCTCGCTCAGTGGGAAGTCTGCTTGAGATTCCTTCCCTCTCCCTCTGCCCCTCCCCCTGCTTGCTCATGTGCGCTCTTTCTCTCTCTCAAATAAATAAATAAAATCTTTTAAAAATAATAAAATCATAAGATATATTTTACAACTACCAGGTTAGCAAAAATTGAAAATTCTACAGATAAGAGAAGTTGTTGAGGAAGTGGCTCGCCAAGGTTCTTAGGCCCTCTTAGGGGAGTGTAAATAGGTACAGTCACTTTGGAAAAGAATTTGGCATTATCTAGTAAATTTGGCAATATGAATAACTTTTGACCCGGAAACTCCATTTCTAGGGATATATTTGAGAGAAATGCGTGCACAAGTATGCCAGGAAACACATACATAGAATGTTCATAACAGCATTATTCAAGATAGCAAAATACTGGAAACAACCCAAATAACCATTCCTTAATAAAATGAATCCAAAAAATAATAAAATAAAATGAATGAATCCATTCTGGTATATTCATAAAGTGTAATACTACAAAGCAATAAAAATGAATGAGTCACAGCTACATGCAATAACCTGAGCAAATCTCCAAAACAGAGTTCTGTCTTATGGCCGGGAAGTTACTGTTGCACCTAAAACTCTGCTGGTGCAGCATAAATCCATTTCCTCTGCTTCTATCCCCAGTGACAGCTAAGTATTACAAAGGATTGTATGAGGATTGGTGGTCAACCATTCTCAGTCTTCTGCATGGAAGAATTTCTCTTCATTGTTTTCTCAAGGACCCTACTTTTGTCTCTTGTGGTTCTCCAAGATACCTGAATTGATTACCTTTCTGGAGACATTGTACTTCAAAGTTCCCATGTGCCATAGTGCTGTTGTACATGCCAGTTTGCTTGCTTTCTTTTTTTACACTAAGCTCCTTGGTTGACATTCTAAACTCTGGGGCGGCTTTCTGCCATACTTAAATGTACAAAGTGCCAGGCATGTTTAGGCAAGGAGAATCATTTTTGTTATTGAAACTTGGCTGGTTTTATTGGCTTCAAAACCTTTTAATACCAAGGATGCGTATGTCTTAGTAGAGGAGCATGCAGGTCATTTGGATCATGGAAAAATTACACTTTAAAATGAGCAGTGCTAATGAGCTGACTAGAGAAGAATTATTTTAAACAGAGTGATGACAATCCTGAAGTTCCTAAGGAAAGTCTCTTAGAGGACTTCTCAAGCCAACTGCGATTTATTTAACTTTATTTGACCTTATTTTTTCCCCCTAAAAATTTATTTATTTATTTTAGAGAGAGAGCAGGAGGGAGAGGGAGAAAGAGAATCTCAAGCAGGCTCGATCAGGGCTTGATCCCACGACCCTGAGATCACGACCTGAGCTAAAACCAAGAGATGGTTGCTTAACTGACTGAGCCACCCAGGCGCCCCAACTTTTTTTTTAAGCCAACTGCCATTTATTTATTTAACTTTTTGATATGTTCTATGTGGGTGTGTATCCTCGTTAGTGTCCAAACTTAACTGGAGACTAAGAGGATGGGTCTGGAATCAGATGGGTTGACTCAGTTTGCTTTGTGATTTTAGGTACAAGGCTTGTATTCTCTACGAGAGTAATAGTAGTACCTATTTCATAGGGTGGTTATGAGGATTAAATTTAGAAAATACATGTGAGACAGATAAAACATTGCCAATAGTTATATCAGATGGTATTGCTTTTAAATTTCTAATTGTATCTATAAAATGGTGGCTTTTTTCCTGTTTAAAAATGTTAATTATAAAATATGTAAAAAACAAAGCACAAAGAAGAAAAACTTAAGCCATCCATAATCCAGAAATAACCACTACTTGTCTTTGTAAAAACATATAAAGAAGCGTGTATGTATGTATATATTTTTTCATATCATACTATGCATTCTGTTTTTAATCTTTTAAAAATTACTGTTTAATGTTATCATACCAATCCAAATGTTTTTTCCTGCTACTTGGGTGCTAAAAAAAATTAAACTTCCCAAAGTAAATAAAAACTCTTTGCTCATAAAAATATTAAAATGTGGGTGTTGAAAGATAGCAAATGTTTGGTATCAGGTGTTCACGGCTTCATTGCTTTCCCCCCACTTCTAGTTGCTGGTCGTACTGGATTTTGCCCATCCTAGGCGCTATTGTCTTAGGTTTCCTGTACCGTTACTACACGGCGGAAAGCAAATCCTCCTGAGGAGACCGTGTGGAAGTTGGAAAGCATATCCATTGGGAGTGCGAGCTAGAGACTTGTTTGGAGGCCGAGCGATGCCCTCTTCTCGAATCCTGCTGGGTGTGTGCTTCCCCCTTGGAGGCCAGATGGTTGGCCAGACGCCCACCCCAGACCTGGGGCCAGTGTCCTTCATTTCCCAGAGCCTTACTCCCAAAGCACCTGCTCATTGTTCTGTGTCCCTGCCAGTGCCCCTCTCTCCACTGGCTTCCACCAGCCCCTTTGTGTTTCCGAACTTGGTTTTATAATTACAATCCAAATGTCCTAGTGACATTGTCCTTTGGTGAAAATGCCTGCTTTCCAGTTCCTTGATGTACATCAGACGTTCTTAACAGGGCAACACACTGGTTCTGAAGCTTTCCTTTTTCCATTTTTCTTCTGGCTTCATTCTCATAAGGGGTTTAATTAGTGAAGTAAAGTTGCACACCTATGACTTAAAACACAACTGCCAGATGATCTCGTTCCTTGTTTGTATTTGTTCAAACTCAGAAGGACCGTGAAATCCTGTCCTCCCTCTGGAGCTAGGGTAGCAGGTAGCTCTTGCCACCCCCCATGTCTGCCAAGTGCTGGACAGAACTGTGCTTCCGTCGTATGTCTTGGGAGCGGAGAGGAAGAGGGAAGGGGAGAGATGAACTGGGGTGAGTGATAGGGTGAATTCCTAGTCCTCTTTGTTTCGCAAAATATTGAAGACACTACTTAGGACGGGAGTTTAGGGAAAGCACCAAAGACTTCATTCTTTTCTTTTCTTTTTTTTGTTTTTTCCCCCAAAGACTTCATGCTCTACTTTGGTGTGGCATCACTTTCTAGCCATCTTCTTTCTTTTCCCCCCAACTGTCTTATTGCTGAGATACAAATTTATAATTCTATTTGTAGAACTTTACCAAAATTTTTTTATTGATTGATTAGTGAATTTTTTCACTCCCTGTTTTACAAAAACAAGAGAGTCCAACTTGATCAAAGCTACAGTAGCTGATTTTCTGTTAGCCCCAGTAAAAGAACTTCCATAGTAAAGTGGCCTTCGAAAGGGGGAGAGTGTGACAAGAGATTGTTTTCCATTTCATCCGGATTTTACCTCCATGGCTCCAATTTGTGGTTTTGTTGTTTTTCCATTGATGGGGAAAAGAAAAAAACAACCAGCTAGAAGTTTTATTCCTTTTATTCCTTTAATTAAAGAGTAGGTTATTATTTAGAATTATGTGAGTGTTTCTTCTTGGTTCAGGAATTTCTCTGGCTTATTTGACTTTACTTTTTTTTTTCCCTGTGGAAGCACCTGAGGAGACAGTGTACGGGCTGTTTTCTGCCAACAATTGTTTGTGGTGATTTTTCTCCCCATCTTTTAAGTATTACCAGTTTGCTTCTGAGCCATTGTCCTGTGCAGCAAGGAGCGGCTTGGTTCCAGAAGGACCATGGACACCACTCAGTATCTCCCCCCTGCCCTACCTTCACTTCCAACTTGCCACAGACTTGACAAGACAGGAAAGGCCCCCGCAAAGCAGTGTCTGCCCCTGCAGACTATTTAAGAAAAGGTTCAACCCAGGTCCTGTAGTGAATTCAGAATTCATCAAAATAATATTAACCTTGTATTTGCACACTTGGATATGATATTATGAAGAAACTTTAGGGGATTTTTGGCAGACTTTTATATATCAGTGGTGTGGGAATAGTCAAACTTTTATCTTTAGAAAATATTTCGTATAAGATGCCACTTTTAGACAATTTATTGAAAAAAACCTTTGGTGATTATGTAACAAAAGTGGTGTGACTGTTGATGCTCCTCCCATTTGAAGGCATAAGGAAGGGCTGCCTTGAATAAGAATTTGTATATAATTGCTGTAATAATTAAGCTGCATGATTACATGGGCCACATTGGGGGTAGAAATGACGAACAAAGGACTATTGAGGAACTGGAAGGGGAACATTGAGGCTGAAACTAAGCCAGCAGATAACTTGGATCAATTAAAAGTATATTGGCAGTCTCCAAAATTAAATGAAAAACATCTGGCTTGTAAGAAATGTTAAAGAGTTATAGTCTTAAGTAAAATTGGTCGGGTTTTTTTTTTAATATATTTTTAGGGTGAACACTAACACAAAAGGTATGCTTTTCTATTTCATATTGGTTTTCTTTTCTCGTTTATGTATGGACTTGTTTTTCCTCGGAGCCAGAGGAAAAGATTTTCAGACTTTGTCTCTACCGTCCATGAAATCCATCCAACACCCAGGGCTTCTTTTGATTTACTCCTGATGTCACTTTGTATTAGAAAAACCAAGTTTGGGTCCATTCACTGTTATTCTGCTGAGCCAGGCGAAAGGTAGAGCTGGCGTGCAGATTTGCAGAGGTTTTTCTAAACAGTAGAATAATACAGTATGTTAGCCAAATCCATCAAAAAGGACTTGTTTTAAGAGGTAAACTCAAATTCTCGTAACAGTCTCAACATTGGTAGGTCGCGAAAACCCTTCTGGAGAGTAAGTGGAGCCAGTCTCTGTTGGCTGACGGGGCCCCCGAGGGCTGGTCTCTGGGGTGGTGGGTTGTTCGTTCCTGAGGAGGACCAGCTGTGGCCTCACACTATGCTGTACACATGATGGCTGGAGGTCACAAAAGGAGGAGATGAGGGACAACGTGTGCCACCCACGTGGGGATGTGAGTGCCAGGTCTCCAAAATTTCCTAGCCCCTGTCCCTTAGTAATTGGTTTCGGTTTCTAAACAGCTCCACATTTGTAAAGACAATAAAGTGGTGGGGACAAAGTTGATGCTGTGTTTAGTTTTTTTGCGACCTCTTAAGCAGGACAAAAATCCATTGGAACCTATAATTTGAGCCTGTTAAGTTCTTTTAGCAGTTGCCATAAATGCATATGTTGTGAGATAAGAGCATTGTTGAGTTTATACTCATTGAGTTCCAATGTGGAGCAATGAGAAATGCTTTATATTTATAGGCCAGGTATATCATTACTTATGGTATCTCATGCTTCAAATCTCAAGTGATACCTATCTGGTTAAATTCCATTTTAGGAGATTGAAATGCAGAACATTAACTTTCATTACTTCCTTTCCTGAGAGAAATGGATTCAGACATGTCTTGTCTCAACAAGAGATTGTTTGTTTTTTTTTAAACCATCTTATTCTGTTGCCAGATATCACAAAAGTAATGGGGAGTTTAGTTCACATTTGGCTGTTGTTCTCTGAAAGGGCCTGGTTTGGAATTTGTGGGGGTGATTTCAGAGGGAGGTTCCAGAAAGCAGAGAGGTATTTGTCAAGTTATCTACCCAATATCTAGCATCTTACTCATAAGTTTTAGGAGCTGCTCTTTTCCTGTACCTGTATTCTACATGTGCTCGTTGGGCAAAATATTATGATTATTTAACTTCCTTTCTTTTTACTTCACCCTCAACTGTGAACGAGTGATATTAACATTCCTTTTGTGTATTCAGTAATGGAGTTTGTTTACCTATTTTATTTCAGCATATTTTGAACAAAGATCTTTGTCTCTTTCTGCTGGAATGTGCACACAGTGAATGTTTGTTAGAACTACACACAATAAAGATACTGTTTTCCTTTTCTTGCCCTGACTACAGTTATTAATTTTTTTTTTTTTTTTTTAAAGCAGAAGTGTTGGCTCTGTAATCCTAAGGTGTTCTGGAAGAAAGGAATTTGAGAAGCACGAAAGTTACCTGTATCTGTGCTAATACTGTGTTTAGTATAACTTGATGGACAGTTCTGTGGTTCTTCAGTATTCCTTCTGCTGCTTTTTCTTTGAAGTTAGTTGCTCGGTTGATAATCACAAGAGGCAAAAATCAAGACTTTTGCTGTATTAATGGACATGAAGTGGCAACCAAGTAGACCAGTTGGGAGTTCTGTTTTTACTGAAACGATCTGGTAAAGAGAAGCCAGTACAAGGTAATAATATTTTGTTATCTGCAATTCCAGTCTTCAAATGATTGTTTTTCTTGGAAATAGCTAAACTGTTGGGGAAAATTAAACACTGAGATTGAAGGTCTAGCGACTGTGTTAATTAAACAAGGGAAATAAACAATTTTTATAATTACCTTTAAAACATACTGATAGCCTTCTAACATTACTAATGAGACATCGTTCATTAGGGCTTGGTTATTTCACTGTCACATGAATTACCAACAGGAAAGGATAGGCCCATTCTTACTACTAGTGTTTGAATCTAATGTTTAATCTCCAGTCCTAATAATTCATATGACTGCACTCTTCATGATACTGAGTATTTGGCAGGTGCTTGACAAATCCTGGTTTATTCCTGAAAGCCTGAGGTGGAAGATGGTGATTCCAGTTACCTAAATTTAAGGTAAGAAATACCCACACGGTCTACTGAACTGCTGGCAATTGTAGGTATTTTTGGTAACCTAACATTAATTAGCTTAATAGATATCTGTAGTGTATATTACAGCTTAATCACATATATTCTGGCATTTAAAAAACTTAATTTTTTTAAGACTTTTTTTTTTTTTAAGTACTCTCCACCCAATGTGGGGCTTGAACTCACAACCCCAAGACCAAAAGTTATATGCTCCACCAGCTGAGCCAGCCAGGTGCCCCTAAAAACCTTAATTCTTTTATAAAGCATACAGGAAAGACTGGAGTTGCTGTCAAATGAAACATGAGGATACAGCTATAGTACTCTTTATCATTTATGTGCCACCTGCTACGTGCCATGCAGTACCTCTGACAGCATTTCTGGTCCTTACCCTTACAGCATCCTTACACAGTAGATGGGGATTTCTGAACTTCACCAACGACTTGCCTGAGGCCACACAGCTAAGATGAAAGCCAGGGTTTAGATCCAAATATAGCCCAAAACTCTCCATTTCCTCTATTGATGGTTCTCATATAAGAACTGTTTAAACTTCATAAGAATTAATAGTGTGCTTGGTATATCTACTACTAAGTCTCATATATAGGTGTTTCTGTGTACGGTCAGTGATATGGGATCAATAATAATCATTTTCTCTGAATTAGTAGATTACTAAAAAAATAGCTGCTTAGGAGTCCCTGAAAAATCTTGGTTGTTGAAGAGATCCTGTTTCACTGGAAACAACTTAGTTAAAATGTTCCCTGTAGGGGGCGCCTGGGTGGCTCAGTCAGTTAAATGTCTGCCTTTGGCTCAGGTCATGATCCGAGGGTCCTGGGATCCAGCCCCGCATCGGGCTCCCTGCTCAGCAGGGAGCCTGCTTCTCCCTCTCCCACTCCCCCTGCTTGTGCTCTCTCTCACTCTGTCAAATAAATAAATAAAATCTTAAAATAAGATGATCTTTGCATCCCTTGTAAAAATAGTCTCTTA